AGAGGGGAAAAAAATGTTAAACAAAAAAAAACTCCGACGGCAGGACCCCACATGAGGTTCCTCTCGGCTAATCTGGAAATAACCCTCATCGTCGTCCTCGTGATGTTGAGGCGAACTTAATGTCTCCTCTGCGTCGTTCTCCTCCTGGCCCTGGCGCAAGCAGTCGTCCCGCTCCCTACATTGTCAGGCCTCAGGGGCCCGAAAGTGACGACAGTTGCAGGAGGCCGATGACCCGCCTCGGATTCGAACGTGAACTGCGCGCCCCATAGGGACGCCTGAGACACAGACGAGGCTCCCACCTGATACTTCCCCCATAGTCAAGCTTCTGGAGCCCAAAAGTGATGACAGTTACAAGTTTCCGATGACCCGCCTGGGATTCGAACGTGAACTGCGGGCCCCATAGGGAGGGGGCTCCCGCCTGAGACTTCCTCACAGTTCACTCACAGACGAGGCTCCCGCCTGATACTTCCCCCAGAGTCATGCCTCAGAGGCCCAGAAGAGACGACAGTTGCTGGAGGCCGATGACCCGCCCGGATTTCTCACATGAGCTGCGGGCCCCACAGGGAGGGGGTTCCCGCCTCAGACTTCCTCGCAATTCACTCACAGACGAAGCTCTCGCCTGATGCTTCCTCCATATGCAGGCCTCAGGGGCCCAAAAGTGACGACAAGTGCAGGAGGCCGATGACCCGCTCAGATTACTCACATGCGCTGCGGGCCCCATAGGGAGGAGTCTTGCGCCTGAGACTTCCCCGCAATTCACTCACAGACGAAGCTCTCGCCTGATACTTCCTCGGGGGGCCGATGACCCGCTCGGATTACTCATATGAGCTGCGGGCCCCATAGGGAGGGGGCTCCCGCCTGAGACTTCCTCGCAATTCACTCACAGACGAGGCTCCCGCCTGATACTTCCTCCATATTCAGGCCTCAGGGGCCCAAAAGTGACAATTGCAGGAGGCTGATGACCCGCTCGGATTACTCATATGAGCTGCGGGCCCCGTAGGGAGGCGGCTCCCGCATGAGACTTCTCCACAATTCACTCACAGACGAGGCTCCCGCCTGATACGTCCTAAACATGAATGTGCGCGTGTGAGTGCTGATGATGATGATGATGATGATGATGATGATGATGATGATGATGATGATGATGATGATGATGATGATGATGATGATGACGATGATGATGATGAGGATGGTGATGATGATGATGAGGAGGAGGAGGAGGGTGTTCCTGTGCTCCTGCGCGGAGTGTCCAGAGAAAACAAGAACCCCATTTTGGATGTGGGGAGATGTGGGGAAGACGAATCGACAGAGAGAGAGAGAGAGAAAAAGCGACACACCAAAAGTTATGTTACCGCAGTTCCCAACGTAAGGATGTCACGGGATTAGCGGGATCGACGGTGAACAAAAGTAGTATTACGAAAAGAAGAACCATGACGTTCACAGGTTGTCATGGAAGGGCCAACGAAGGCGAGGAGGGGAAGCAGCATAGAAAAGGAGGATGGCTGTTCAGGACGCACCCCTTGTGTATAGCCGGGCGAACGCCTTGAAATAGTACGGTACTCCGATACCCTCCTCGCTCTGGCGGGGCCTCCCTGGAGGGGTGGGAGGGGCGCGGAACCTTGCAAATAGTATATTATTCCGATACCCTCCTCTCGCTGGCGGGGCCTCCCTGGAGGGTGGATGGGGCACTAAACCGTGGTTATGCGATGCGATGCGATGCGATGCGATGCGACCACCGTTGCGGACAGTGTCCGGGCCGACTCAAGACCGGGTGGGCGAGGCCGTGGCCTCGGGAATCTGGCGTGTCTAGACAACATGCAATGCGAGACAAATGCGCAAAAACAAATCAGAAGAGGGGCGGAGGGGGGATGGTTTTCTGACAATATTATGGTATTCCGACGCCCTCATCGCTCTGGCGGGGCCTCCCTGGAGGGGTGAAGAAGCAGGGAACCTTGCAAAAAGCAAAATATTCCGATACCCTCATCGCTCCGGCGGGGCCTCCACTGGGAGGGGCAAGAAACCTTGGAAATAGTATGGTATTCAGATACCCTCATCGCTCTGGCGGGGCCTCCCTGGAGGGATGGGTGGTGCAGGAAGCATTGGAAATAGTACGGTATTCGGATACCCTCCTCGCTCTGGCGGGGCCTCCCTGGAGGGGTGGGAGGGGCAGATTATATTCCGATACCCTCATCGCTCTAGCAGGGCCTCCCTGGAGGGGTGGGTGGTGCAGGAAACCTTGGAACTACAATGGTATTGCGACTTTCTTCCTCGCTCTGGCGGGGCCTTTCCCTGGACGGGTGGAAGGGGCAGGAAACGTTGTAACGAGAATGGCATTCCGAAACCTTCCTCGCTCTGGCGGGGCCTCCCTGGATAAGTAGGAGTGGCAGGAAATGTTGGAAATGTTATGGTATTCCGATGCCCTCCTCGCTCTGGCGGGGCCTCCCTGGATGGGGTCGAGGGGCAGGAAGCCTCGACAATAGCATCGCAGTCCGATGCCCTCCTCGCCCTGGCGGGGCATCCCTGGAAGGGGTGGGAGGGGCGCGACACCTTGGAAGTGGTACTGCATGCCGACACCCTCATCGCTCTGGCGGGGCCTCCACTGGAGGGGCGGGAGGGGCAGGACACCTTGTAAAGAGTATGGTATCCAGGTGCCCTCCTTGCTCTGACGGGGCCTCCCTGGAGGGGTGGGGGTGGGGTAGGAAGCCTTGGAATCAGTATGGTATTCCGCTGCCCTCCTCGCTCTGGCGAGGTCTTTCTGGATGGGTGGGAGGGTGTTCCGATACCTTCCTCGCTCTGGCGGGGCATCCCTAGAGGGGGCGGTGGGGCAGGAAGCCGTGAAAATAGTAGTGTATCCCATGACCCTCCTTTCTCTGGCGGGGCCTCCCTGGAAGGATGAGTGGTGCAGGAAGCCGTGGAAATAGTATGGTATTCCGATACCCTCCTCGCTCTGGCGGGGCCTCCCTGGATGGGGTGGGAGTGGCAGGAAGCCTGGCAAGCAGCATGGTATCATGATTCCCTCCTCGCTCTGACGGGGCCTCCCAGGACGGGTGCGAGGGGCAGGAAGCCTGGTAAATAGTGCAGGAAGGGAGTGGCAGTGGAAGGGGAAGGGGAAGGCAGAGGTGGGAGGAAGAGGAGGAGGTATTGTGGGGAAAGAGGAAGCCACTCAGGATGCGTGGAAAAATGATCCTGGCGATGGATCCAACAATATGCAGTTGTGTATGCCGTCGATGGGTGTCGCATTCGGTGGATCTCCTCATGAGGCCAAAAAGCGTGCGAAGAGTGTGCCGAAATCGGGCGGGGGCGCCATGCGCGCGCTGCCACTGGAGCCTGCACTGGGGCCCCCTGTGGGACCACGGAACGTGTCATCGGTGTGCCGAATCAGATGCGGGTACGCCATGCGGACTGTGCCGCTGGGGCCTTCGGTGGAACTCCTCATGGGGCCACGAAACGTGTGAGGGGTGTGCCAAATCGGACGCGGGTACGCCATGCGGACTGTGCCGTTGGGGCCTTTGGTGGAACTCCCTGATGGAGCCACGAAACGCGTGAGGAGTGTGTCGAATCGGGTTCGGGTACGCCATGCGGACTATGCCACTGGGGCAGTCGGTGGAGCTCCCTATGGGGCCACGAAACGTGCGAGGGGTGTCCCAAAAATCGGATTCGGGTACGCCATGCGGACTGTGCCGCTGGGGAAATCGGTGGAGCCCCCGATGAGGCCGCGAAACGTATGCGGGGTGTGCCAAATCGGATGTGGGTACGCCATGCGGAATGCGCTGCTGGGGCACTCGGTGGAACTCCCTCTGGGGCCACGGAACGTGCGAGGGGTGTGCCACACCGGATGCAGGTACGCCATGCGGACTGTGCCACTGGAGCCTGCGGTGGGGCCCCTTATGGGGCCACGAAACGTCTGAGGGGTGTGCCAAATCGGATGCGTTCGGTGGAGCTCACTCTCGGGCTACGAAACGTGCGAGGGGTGTGCCAAATCGGAGGTGGGCACGCCTTGCGGATTGTGCAACTGGAGCCTTCGGTGGAACTCCCTATGGGGCCACGGTTCGTGTGAGGGGTGTGCCAAATTGGATGCGGGTACGCCATGCGGACTGTGCCCTCGGGGACCTCGGTGGAGTTCCCTATGGGGCCACGATTCGCGTGAGGGGTGTGCCGAAATGATAGACTGATGCGAAGGGCAGAGGCACACGGGGGAGGAGGGAGGAGGGGGAGGAGGGAGGAGGGGGAGGAGGGAGGAGGGGGAGGAGGAGGAGGAGAGGAGGAACGCGGGACGCTCTCTCTTCAAAACGAGGGCCCAACACCACAGGATGGTTGGGAGATAAAAAAAAAAAAAAAAAAAAAAAAAAAAAAAAAAAAAAAAAAAAAAAAAAAAAAAAAAAAAAAAAAAAAAAAACGCGAAAGAAAGAGAGAGAGAGAGAGAGAGATGGAAACAGAAGACATCAGTGAGCAGCGAGCGGCGAGAGCAGCGAGGAGGGAAGAGGGAGGCGCGAGGAGAGGGGAGGGCGGAGGGAGGCGGACGGGAGACGGGGGAGCAGGATGGAGAGGAGAGGGCTCGGGAGGAAGGAGATGCGAAGAGCGAGCAGCCAGAAGCGAGCAGCGAAGAGAAGGGCCGAGGGAAGGCGAGGAGGGGGCGAGGCGAGGAGGGAGGGCACCGATGCGTGGGGGGAGGAGAAGGCGGCGAGAGGGGAGGCGGAAGGAGGCATGGGGGGGAGGAAGGGCAGAGCGGGAGGGAGAGGAGGCAAACCGATGCCACGTCTCGGCCTCGGCGTCCAAATGCCGAGTTCTGCTGAACTGGCCCCCGTGATGCAGGTTGTGCGCGCTCCTGCCATGATAACGTGTCAAGAAAGCTGCTCACTCCCTCCCTCCTCCTGCTCTTTACCCTCACCCTCCCCATCCTTTTCCTTATCCTCCCCCGTCTCTCCATCCCCTCTCTCCATCCTCTTCCTCCTCCCCCCCTCCCTGCTCAACACACTGGCCCTCAGAAAAATAGAACACTCCTGGTCACCACCGTCCGCTTTGATCTGGCCAGGATTGCAACGGACGATCAGCGCGTCGAAAGACTTACAGACCTCGAAGAACTTGGCGTGGTCTTGGTGGACGTAGCTGATCAGCTGGCAGCTCATGCCAGCCTCAGAATGCAAATCTTCCGATATCATATTCCGAGCCCTCCCTCCCTCCCTCCCTCCACACCAACCCACCCCCCGTCCCTCCTCCCTCCTCCCTTCCCCTCTTCCCTCATCCTGCTTACACACCGTCGGATCTCACCTCTCGTGCTCAGTGTCCTGCTGCTGTGCCTCCTCCTCCTCCTTCTCCTCCTCCTCCTCCTGCTCCTGACCCTCCTCCTCCTCCTCCACCGTTCCTCCTCGTGCTTCCTCTCCCTCCCTCCCTCCCTCCCTCCCTCCCCCCCCCCTCCATCCATCCATGTATCCATCCATCTTCCTGCTCATCCTCATCCTGGGTCTCCTCCTCGCGCTCCTCTTTTTTCAGCAGAACAAAGAATGATCCACCTCCTCATCATCATTCTTCGATCCTTTACCATTAACCGTATAATTGGTATCTTTATACTGTTCAAAGTTGTCCTACTTACTTCACATGGCATCACGCAGGGCACCGCTAGCCGACTTCTTCCTGGACGTGTCTTCGGAATGCCGGGCAGGGGGAGCCGCTTGCGGCGCCGAGGCGGGAATGCTGATCCTGAGCGGAAAGCAAGGGAGCACTGCGAAGGAGCCCCTGTTTTGAGGGAAAACTGGCTTTCGCCGGCGAGCAAGAGCCCCGGTCCCGGGTAGAAAAGGAGTAAGTATCGAGCGGGATCGTTGTTGTTGTTGGGAGGAGCGTTTCGACGCAACCCCGAAACGCCTAAGCGTGAGCCAAATGTACAAAGGACATGCAGCTGGCGCCGAGGCGAGAGCGCCAGGGCGGATGCAGGGTGTCCAACAATAACTTGTGTTGAATAGTGAGGGCTCAACAATGACAGCGGCAACAACAACAACAACAACAACAACAACAACAACAACAACAACAACAACAACAACAACAACAACAACAACGACCACAACAACAGCAACAGCAACAGCAACAGCAGCAGCAGCAGCAGAGGCAGTAACAACAACAATCATCGTAAGACTGCTCAACATCAACACGGACATCCCGAACCCTCGGTACCCGCCCTCTTCGTCTTGGGTCGTACCCCCTCTCGGGGGTACATCTTCCCTACATGCCGCGTGTACTTGGCGCATCCACTCAAACAGGGGAAGGAGGGGAAGAGCTAAGAGACAAGAGGGAGGAAGAAAGATGGAGCACGAGAGCAATTTGCAGGCAGGTTGGGAGCAGGAGCACAAGCGGCAGAACCAGACTGGCGTGTAGGGCGGGCGGACCCTACTGTGGAGGTCGGGCGGGCGGGACCAGACGGCCAACTCGAGCGGGCGCGTCGCTAAAGCGTCAAACCATCATGAAGGAAACTTCGAGCGGAAACGCGATTCCCAAGGAAATCGTTTGGAAATCCATAGAGAGAACATAATTCCTCAGTGTTGGGGGCACGGCGCCGCACGCGACGAAGTACCACGCGAGAGCGCGATTCCTGTATACATTATGAGGAATTCCCGCGCGAGAGCGTGAATCCTGTATAAATTGTGAGCACGTAATTATCAGGCGGGAGCCGTTGTTGGTGTTGTTGCGACATGGGGGTCAGGGGCACAGTTTCGTGACCACAACCTCTCCCTGAAAAAAGGGTGCGAGCCCCAGGAGGAGCACTTCACTTGGAAAAAACTGTCACCGGGGGGGGGTCAACAAAAATTACTCTCTAACAATGAGAACTCAACTACAACAACAACAATAATTCTAAGACTGTTCGCAATCATCTGCTCGCGTGCCATCCAGCACGTATATCCCAAACCCTCGATACCCGCCCTCTTCGTCTTCAATCGAAACCTCGAGGGGGTAGATTTCCCCTACATGCCGCGTGTAGTTGGCGCAGCCCCGAAGGCAGGGGAAGCGAGGACGGATGGAAAGGATGGAGCCCGGGAAAGATTAGCAGGAGGGGGGCTAGGAGCAGAAGACAGTGGCAGACCTCGACTGACTGATCGGGCGGGTAGACCCTAACGGGCGGGTTGGGAAGGCGGGTCCAGGTGGCCAGGTCGAGCAGGCGGGTTGCTCGAGAATGAGTCCTGCATGAATGGCGAGAAGGCCTCGAGCGATAGCGCGATTCCCAAGTAAATCGTGAGAAAAGTCAGATCGAGAGCTTCCTGAGCGTCGAGGGCGCGGCGTTTGAATAAATTGCAAGGAAGTCCCACACGAGAATGCGATTCCTGCATACATTATGAAGTCCCGCGCGAGAGCGCGATTTTGAAAAACTTGTGGAGAAGTATCAGACGGGAGCCGTTCTTGCTGCAAACGGGGATGCCAACGACACAGTTTGGTGGCCCAAGACTTTCCTTGATAAAAAAATAGGGTGCGAGCCCCAGGAGGAGCGCTTCAATTCAAAAAAACAATGGTAACCGAGGGAGTCAACAATAACTACCGTTTGAAAATGAGAACTGAACAACAAGAACAACAACAACAACAACAACAACAACAACAACAACAACAACAACAACAACAACAACAACAACAACAACATCATCACCAACAGCAACAACGTCAACATCAACGACAGCACCGAGATCGTCATCCTCACCGACGTAAGCATCATCATCATCATCATCGTCGTCGTCACCATCAGCATCCTTATCACAATCAGAAGCAGCAGCATCATCATCACCAACATCATCATCAGCATCATCACCAGTCACATTCGTAACATCATCATGAACATCAGAAGCATCACCATGATCATCAGCATCATCATCAGCATTGTCTTCGTCGTCGACATCGTTACCCTCATCGCCGTCATCATAATCGTTGGCGATGCCATCGCCAACACCGCCATCATCACCATCATCATCCTCGTCGTCATCCTCGTCACCATCACATCATAGACAGCATCGTCAACCTCATGATCGTCAACAGTATCAACAACCTCGTCATCACAGTCGTCGCCATCATCATCATTATCATCATAATCAGCAGCATCATCATCAGCATCATCATCAGATTCATCGTCACCATCATCATCATCGTCATCGTCGTCAACTGCAGCACCAACATCATCATAAGCATCGTCATCATCTTCAGCATCATCATCACCGTCCCCATCATCGTCGTCATCCGCATCATCGCCATGGTAACCAACGACCGTATTATCAACATCAGCATAATCATCAGCAGCAGCAGCATCGTCATCGTCGACATCAGCACCCGCACCATTGTCGGCAATAGCATCACCATCATCATCGACAACAACATCATCAGCATCATCAGTACCAGCAGCATAAGCATCATCGTCATCATCATCATCACCATCATCATCATCATCATCGTCCTCGTCCTCGTCCTCATCCTCATCCGCATCCTCATCATCAACATCATCACCATCACCATCGCCATCATCATCATCAGCAGCATCATCATCAGCAGCATCAGCATCAGCATCATCATCATGATCAGAATCATTATCATCATCATAATCAGCATCATCATCACCACCATCATGGTCGTCATCATCATCACCACCACCACCATCATCATCATCATCATCAGCAGCATATGCGTCATCATCGTTATCGGCATCATTATTGGCATCGCCATCCGATGTATACTTCTCATTATCCGCCTCATTCTCCTCGCCCTCCCTCCAGGAGGCATTGGGTACGAAGTTTAAGGTAGAATGCAGGAGGAAGGAGGTAGGGGCTAGGAGGCAGGAAGGGAAAATCGCGGAGGAAGTGGCAGTGAAATTACAAAGCGAGGGCAGAGGGCGCACGAGGTCGCGCCAACGCGCGCGATCGCACCCCTATGGCGCCGCGGCCATGATCATTCCGTTGGCGAAAGGAATGGAGTCGTAGCGGTGCCCGTTGGAGCTCGAAGCCGCTCAATTATTAGCACTCGCCCTCATCATGAAGCTCGTCATCGTCAACGTAATTTTCTTCACCGTCGTCGTCACCATCATCATCACCGTCACGACCAGCACCAACATCAATGCAAAAGTCATTGTCATCGGTATCATCGTCCTGGCCATCCTCAACATTATCCTCATGTTCCTCACCATCTCCAACAACAACATCATACAAATCATCCGTTCCGTCATCACTCGGAGTAACTCAGGCTCAGGCTGTTCGTCGCCTTGCAGCTCGGGCGAACTGCTGAAGCCCCCCTCCCTTTATCACTCATGCTGTAGCTCCTCTCCCTCCCTCCCCGTCCCTACCCTCTGTACCCTACCCTCCCGCACCTCACTTCCCTCTCTCCGCCAAACTCCTCCTCCCCGCGCGCCTCCCTTCCCGCACCTTCCCCTCCCCATGGCGCCAGCAAAAAGTGTGGGGGCGACATGTTGGCCAGCGCCGCGGGAGACTCGGGCTGGCCTGACGGGGCCGTCAGGACAACGACGAGACCCAGCGTGAAACTTGGCGCAGACTCCCGCCGCAGACGTCCCACGAAAACTGGACCATCAAAACTCATGATGGGCCCGTCAAACAGCGTCTGCAAGCACGAGCTCCGCCGAACTCGAGTCTTAAGTTAGAGAAAGAAAGAAAAAACAACATAAACATAAACTTGTTGCACTCCGCGCGGATTTCTTGGATCCGCGCTGGACCCCCCTCCCTGGCGCGCGCCTGGGGCGGCGCCAGAGGCGCCACCGATGGGGCCCGGCGCGGATCCAAGAAATCCGCGCGGAGCGCCAAAAGTTTATGTTTATGCTTATGGCGCTTGGTCTTCCTCGATGTCATTTCTCCAATTCTGGGCTGCGGTGGGGGTGGCAGGTCCTCTTATCGCTGCCGCCGTAGTCGGCGCTGCGGACGTAGCACCCCACCAGCGCGGTCTTGAAACTGCCCGGGGGGCGAGGGCAGCGGAGCCAGGACGGGGGAGGAGAACGACGACGACGACGACTGTGACGACGACGATGATTATGACGACGGTGACTACGACGACGACGACGACGACGACGACGACGACGACGACGACGACGACGACGACGACTACTAGGACGACGAGGACGAGGACGAGGACGACGAGGACGACGACGACGACGGGGAGGAGGAGGAGGACAACGGCGAGCAAAGGCAGGAGCCGAGGCAGGCGGGAGCGGCATGAGCAGCAGCAGCGGCGGCAGAAGCAGGGCGGGAAAGGAGGACAGGGGAGGGAGGGTGGAGAAAGGGTGAGGAGGAGGGCGGTGAGGGGCTAATAAAGAGGAGCGAGAGGGAGGAGGGGTGGCAGAGCTAGGGAAGCGAACTCTATACACCGACGCTTTTTCCGACCCTGCGCCGAGATTCGCACAGGAACGCGGATCCTGGTGTATACGGGATCCTGGTGTATAAATTCTTCGTTGTTTCCCCAGGAAAGAGGTGAAAAAAAGTATACACCACACCACCCCGACGTCGTCCCCGACCCTCAAAAAGTCTTGGGATTGAGAAAACAACCCGAAACTGGTATTGTATATGTGTCCCAGATTCCGAGAAGCCCATGCTTCACCTCTTCAATGGCCGCTGCTTTCCTCGCGGGCACCGCCGTGCATCCATCATTGTGGATGCCATTGTGGCGGCAGATCCTCTCTTGCCTTTCCCGTGTTCCTTGAGTCCACTGGCTAAGTGCATCTTTACTCTTCTCCGTCGAGCTTGCGAATAGATCCTCCCTTCATCTCGCGCTTCTCAACGAGAGCTTGGACTTGTCCAACATCACGTATACGTCCTCGTTTGGCATCGGCTCTCAGACGCTACAATTTTCAGGCATAAGTTCATCAAAAGTGGAAATCATGTGAAAATCCAAAACTCACCAAAAATGCAAAAGCACTGTTTCCCAAACCAATCAAAAATGTGAATGCCATTTTCGGGCCAGGGCCTGCGAAAATGCTAGCATTGGCCTTCAAGCGGCCACATTTTCCACCCAAAACGCATCCTCAAGAAGGGGGTCGATTAGTGGACGAATGTCCGTCCCAAGGCCTCGTGCTCAAGGCTTGATTCCCCCGTCATACACGAAGAGCGCCATGGTGGGGTCCCTAGCGGCGGCCCTGGGCGCAGAAAATCTCGTGGCGGCCATCCTGCCACTGCCGGACATCGCCACTGCCGGCAGCGACCTGAAAACCTCATGTGGCCCAATGGCGTAAACCCGCTCTGATTCCAGTACGGAAAAGGAGGAGAAGGACGCGCTCCCGAGAGGAGGAGGAGGAAGGAAAGGAGGAGGATGAGGAGGAGAAGGAGGACGGCATCTGGCGAACGGAGAGCACCGCCCTTGGTTCTCCATGTGCGAGCCAGGACGCCCGTCATGTCAGGGTCTAGAGCACCAGTCGCCGGTGGGTGTGTGTGTTCGCTTGCTCGGGGCTGGTGCTGCAGAGACGCAGGGCTGCAGTCCAGGGAATCGATGCTCCTGTCGCGTTCGACTGCCTCGTGCAGACGGTGTGGCGCCCGCAGCGACCGCGGGCTCCGACAAAGCTTCCTCAGGTCAGCAGAGAGCATGCTTTCCCGTTGTCTTTGGTCCTATGGTGGCGTTGTACTGGCCACCAACGTAGATCGATGTGGCCAGAGGCCATTCCGAGCTTTGTACTGACGCCCTACGCGAAAGGCCAGCAAATGGCACCGCGCCTCACAGAGGATGCGCGTGACCTCTACGACTCTATGACTCCTGGCTCCTGGCTCGGCTTGACCGCCTACCGCCCCCGCGACCTCGGCCACAGGACGCCCGCACCTCCGAAGGCTTGCGGGCCCGCCCGACGTAGCCCCACGTGCCGCGGCCGATGCGATCTCTCCCGCGCGCTCGCCTACGACGCGACCCTGCGCTGTTGCGAGCCCTGCGGCATGGCCAGCCGCCACGTTATGCTCTTACGGCCTGTCCATCGAGAGCAACACCAGGAGCCCCGACCAGCAGCGGCCAGCTCCTGCGAGCGACCACCAGCGCGGACAAGGGTCAAGGCCTAGCTAAGACCAGGTGGAGGAGGCCGAGGCCTCTGGAATACGCTATGTACTGTGATACGCTATGTACTTTGCCGCGCGACACAAGTGAAAAGTTGCGCAAGGTGGAAGAAGGATTAGAGAGGAGACAGGCGTCCGCTCCCGTCCTCAGGGGTGGGAGAGGAGGAGAAGAAGGAAGAGGAGGACGACGAGGAGGAAGAGGAGGAAGAGGAAAAGCAGGATGGCAGGTTGAGCCGTGGTTTGGCCGGCTGCGGCAGCAGGCCCAGGTCGTCCTTGGTGACCCTTGTAAGGGACGAGACGTCCACCTGGTCGGGCAGGGACCCTCACGCTGCTCCCCCTCCACATCCTCCTCCTCCTCATCCTCATCCTCATCCTCATCATCACCACCACTACCACCACCACCACCATCACCACCACCACCACCACCATCATCATAATCATCATCATCGTCATCATCATCATGCTCACCACCATCGCCATCATAATAGCAACAACAACAATAATAACAATAATAATCATCATCACCATCAGCATCATCAGCATCATCAGCATCATCATCATCATCATCAACATCACCATCATCGTCGTCGTTCTAGCAGCATCATCATTAGAATCATCATCCTCATCATCATCATCACCACAATCATCATCATAACCACCACCATCATCACCATCACCATCATCATCATCAGCATCACCACCGACACCAACAACATCATCACCATCACCATCACCATCATCATCCCCATCACCATCATGAACATCAAGAACAACAAGATCATCATCACCAACAACAACGTCAACATTATCGACAGCGCTGAGATCGTCACCCTCACCGACGTAAACATCATCATCATCATCAGCATCATCATCAGCATCATCACCATCACCAGCATCATCATCATCATCATGATCATCCTCTTCAGCATAATCATCATCAGCAGCATCAGCATCAGCATGGGCATCAGCATCATCATCGTCATCACCATCCTCGTCCTCATCCTCCTCCTCATCATCAACATTATCATCATCCGCCTCATCATCATCCACTGATCCAAGTTTCGTCCCCCCGCCCCCAGGAGGCAGCGACGACGTGAACCTGCCCTCTCGCCCTGTGCACCACTGCTGCCAAATAAGCCGTTGGCGGCAGCGCAGAGACGAACAAGGAGAAAGGATGGATGGAGGATGCGGACAGGAGTGTGCTCCTCATCCTCCTTCTCATCTTCCGCAGTCCTCGTCCTCCTCATTCTCTACATCCTCCTCCGATGGGCGCTGCAGCAGGCCCCCTGTGTGCGCCTTTTCGGGGGGCAGTGTACACTCTGGTGGTTTTTGGTCATGCCATGGAGTCCCCATGCTGGTACCTTGTGAACACGGTCCTGTGTGGCTCCCATCGGGCTGAGAAATGCTGTAGTAGGGGAAGTAGCCCATGAGGCCACTGCGACAGGTACAAACTATAAGACGGCTGTTTGGCAGGCTAAGACGACCGAGAAATTGCCACACCGCGATGCGAATGTAGATTTTTGAATTCACTTATTTGCGAGGCACCTCGAACAAACAAGTCCTGCGCAGCAGATGTTACATTTAAGGCCATCGGCTTGACGAGGTAATCGCTACCCTCGGGAAGAAAAGGACGAAAAAACCATACCTCCAGAGGAGGCCCCACGAGGGGTCAGGACACGAAGAAAGCCCAGCTCACTACTGGCACGTGAACTGCTCGAGCAACTCTGCGTGCCAGCTCCATTCGGAGCGCGCGCCGGCAGTGTGATGCCACCCACGAAGTCCAGCTGGCTCGGCGTACCGACGTAGCACGCTCTCCCACGTCATCCAAGAGCGGCGCGACGGTCGAAGAGGCCACTCATAAACGTTGCGCATGGCAGCCGTCCAGTCGCCATCCCTCCATTCCGTAACTCTCCAGACCCACGAGTGCCCCGCGAGCCTTGCCACGTGGCCCGCCCAAAGCCAGTTCCGTCTGGCGCGGGCCCGCTGCCAATCGCGGACGCCTGCGCGCTCTGCCATCTGCCGACCTTCCCGGGTCGTGCGCTGGATCCATTCGTGCCACGCCTCGTCTGGCGCCCGCCTGAAACAGCATATGCGTCGTAACAGATTGTTCTGGGTGGCCGTGAGGGCCCTCGGTGTCCATGAGCTCGTGCCATACAGCATGCAGCTACCAACCGTCGCATCGAAAAGCCGCAGACGTCCAGATAGGGGATTCCTCGTTGTTCGTCAACAAAGGTTTCATGGACCGAAACTTTCGCCATGACAGAACCGCGCGGTGGTCGAGCTCCGCCGCCGTGACATCCGTCAACGGCAGCATTATGCCTAGCATTTCCAGGCTCTCCCCCGCCTTGAGAATGTTCACTGAGAAGCCCTGCTCCAAAGTGACGCCCCCGCGCGAGATTATGTCCAACTTGTTGGTGTGCACCTTGCCTTTCGACGGGTGCAAACGCAAGCCTCGTTTGGCCAGCGCGCCCCGGTGCGCGAGGATCATGCGCTTCATCGACAACCATGATCTTGCCACCAGCGTGGCGTCACCCGCCAAAACCATACGTGTAAGACATATTCCGCTCCACGTCTGCCCCACCGGGGTGCCGCACCGCCACCTTTGCCACGCTGTTTCCATGATCAAGTTGAACAGAACTGGGGATGAAGGGTCGCCGTGTCGCACCCCTCTCTGCACCTCGAAGCGTCGACTTTCGACGCCGGCTCCCAATTTGACGTAAGCCATCATGCCTCTGTACAAGCTTCTCAACATTCCCATCAAGCTGGCGTTCACCCCACCGCCAGTCAGCGCCTCGAACAAGTGTTCGCGGGACACTCTGTCGAACGCCTTTTCAACGTCCAGGGCGGCGATCCACAATTCTTGCCCCCACTCGGCAGAATTCTCCACAACCATGCGTAGTACATGCAGGGCATCGTCGCAGCCTCTGCCGCTCCAGAAGCCAAACTGTTCCTCGGTAGTATGAGCTTCGATAGCCTCTGCAGGCGCAGATGGAGAATGATACAGCTTGGCCATAACTGGGATGATCGAGATGGGTCGGTAATTCGTCAAAACCTTCCCGTCCCCCTTCTTGAAAATTACCGTCGGGCGCGCTTGCTTCCATTCCGTTGGAGGCTCCATGTTGCCCTGGATGATGTCCGTGGAATATGCCGCTACGGCCTCGAGCAATCCTGTTTGCTTAGTGCGTAACATCTCCGTGATCAAGCCATCGTCTGCTCCCTTTCGCCCATTCTCCATGCGCTTCAAGGCTGAGGAAACTTCCTCTAATGAGACCGGAAGCATGACATGCGCTAGTTGCTGTTCTTCCTGACGGGGTTCGTGGTTCAAGCCGCCCGCGCTGTAAAGGTCCTCGTAAAACTGGGCGGAAGTCCGCGACGCCCTCGTCGTCCTCAACCTCGCAGCCGCCGGTTCCGTCGAATACTGCTCCGACCCTATCAGCGCCAGCGTGTCGTTGTTGAGCACGTTGTCAAGATTTCAATCCTTGCCCGTGATGGGCGATCTCGCTGATCTCGCGCGCTCGACGCGCTCGCCGCTGCCGACGCAGTTCTCTCCAAAGGCTCTTCGGTAATGCTTTCCTCCTGTCGAAGGTCGTGCTCCTCGCGCCTGGCCCGAAATGATTGCTGAACTCATCACTGCGCTGCCGTTTGGGCGTCAGCGCTGACTCTCCAGAGGCCCGGGCTGCCTTCACCACAATGGCGTTCACCTCCATCACCGTGCAGTGCCTTTGTGCGAGGCCCTCGGTCAACAATGCATGAAACTCCGCTGGCTCCCCGTGCTCGTCCAAATGAGGCTGCCATCCACGCATCGCCGGAGCTTTTTTCCTCCTCTGAAGTATGCTCACTGATACGGTTAAGCGTACAAAAACTGCTCTGTGATCAGATGTTCCTTCCAGATCTGTCCAAATGCCCGCTGCCTCTTCTATGATATTGGGCCGCTCCTCCGGCAGCATGAAATAATCAATATGACGTAAAGCGGAAGCGTTGTACAGTCGATGCGTCCACATCTCATCCCAAGACGCCTGAAAGAGAGAAGCTGCTGGAACCAAGCGAACGCCATGCAGCCAATGCGCGAGTTGATGTCCGCGCTCGCTCCGCACTCCAATACCATGCGGGCCAATAATACGATGATCATCTGCTGCCGTACGCTTCCCAAGCACTGCATTCGCATCGACTCCAACTATCGTTGCCCTTTTTTTGCCCCGCGCCTGCCCCAACATACCCTCGGGGCCGAGGATGGTGAGCCAGACAAGGCCAATCGAGCTGCCGATGACAAAACCAAAGCCGCCCTGGCTGTCCACTCCGAGCTCACCCGTCTTTTCTCTATAACTTAGACCTGGATGTCCAGGCCGTCTCCATACATGCAGTGTTTACTCCCGTTTTCGGCGAAGGGCCGAAGCGTGACCAGCCCTCCGCAGTGTACCATAATGTGCGCAGCCATAGGCTGGCATCGGTGGCAGGAAGGCAGCATCCCTGGATCCCAGTGCCGCCATAGCCTGCGCGCTGCCGACATTCCTGCCGACCGTGAGGAAATTGGCTGCCTGGGCGCCCAAAACCTCATTCCCTCGATCGTGGGGAGACCTCAGGAACCAGTGGGGGCGGGTGTGTTGGCGGGGGAGCTCGGGACGCCCTAGTCCGGCGGCGAACGCAGCGCTGGGCGATCTGCCCGGCAGGCTGCGTGCAAGTCGCCCCGCTGAAGAGACCGAAGCGATAGCGCTCTCGCACAGATCGATCGGGCGGACACGGGGCTGCCGTGCAGCATACGAGGTGCCAAGGGAAGCGCGGGAAGCCTTGCAGGCCGCCCATCGGAAGAGACGCTGGCGCAGCCTCGGACCTGGGGGTCGTGCCCGCGAGCGCCTTGAGCAGTCCGCTGCCGTTCTGCAGCTGCGCGTGGCTCCGCGGTCCAGGGCCGAATCCCGAGCGACATCTGTCGCCCCATGTGCGCTCAGCCCTGCGGCCAGGGGACCTGTGAGCAGCGCTCGGCGGCCTCGTGCGAGCGTGCGTGCTGCGAAGAAGGCAGCCGCTGCGCTGCAGCAGAGGAGGCAGCCGCAGCGGGAGTCCTGGTGTGCAGCTGGCGGCGAAACGAAGCGCCTCGACGGGGCCCCGCCCCCCGAGAAGCGACTCGAAGGGAAATGGCACTCGATTTGCTCGCTTGCTCGCAGGTGTCGTGTGCGTGTGCTGCGGCGTGCGACCCGTCGCGGGCCCCGGGGCGGGTTCCGGCGCACTGCGGGCACGGCTGCGCGCGTGCCGCTGCGGGTCCCCGAGGGCGGACCTCGCAGGCAGAGCCTCGCGAGTGGGGCTGGACAAGCAGCCTGGTGGACGGGCGCGCTGCGGGAGGGGAGGGAGGGAGCCTCTCCCTGGGTGCAGCAGGTGGCTCCTCCGATTCGCGCGCACACACACACAGCCTCGTGTTGTGCTAAGCTCGGCGCGAGCGCCCTTACCCTGCGAGGCTGCCGTAACCCTTTCTTCCTCCCCCTCCTCCTCCTCTTCCTCCTCCTCCTCCTCCTCCTCCTCCTCCTCCTCCTCCTCGCCCTCTTTCTACGAGAGGAGGGGAAGCTGGCGAGGAAACGGAAGAGCACAGAAAAACAACAACAACACAACAATGCAGTCATGAACCCGGGGGTGCGTAGGACACTGAATTCCCGTGCAGGTGGGCACTTCAAATGCGTCCTCGTTCGAGGCTAGATGGAAGCTCCACGTGAGCAGACGTCAATCACTGAAGACGGAAGGAAGGAAAGAGGGGGGGAAGAAACAAAGGAAGGAGGGGGGACTATACTACATTCTACAAGTCAGCACTGTTCACAAATAACTTCCAGGCGACGTCCGATCTCATCAGACGCTCAAGGGTTGCTGCGCTCCCTGTCGGAGACACGGCCATGCTGTACACGTGCGGTACCCATTCCGACCTCGGCCGCCCTGCTTTCCTAATGTACCGGTTGGTTGCTGGTGTCAGCGTGCGCGGGAAAAAATGAAGTGCGGAACAGGCTTCCCTCCGGCGCGCGGGCCGCCTTGTCTAGGAGCTGAAGCTGCTGTTTAGCTAGGGTCTGCGTCAAAGGCCTTTGCTGCGTGAGCTGCAGGACAATCGCGTTGCTAGCTCTAGACAGAAAAGCCGGAGCTATACCCCAAATCATTATGAGGCATCTGCAATGGAAGCCGTTCAGACGTCGACGTTCTGCAACATTAAGCCACATGGTCGCGAGGCCGTACGTCAACTTGCTCAGAACAGTACTGGTGTATACCAAGATTTTGCGTGCACGGCTCAATCCAGAATGCTTCCACACTTTTGAAAGCGCCCGGAAAACAGCGCGCGCATTCCCTATCCTCCTCGTCAGTTCCCGGACAGGGTGCCAATCGTCGGAATTGAGAGCCCCAAGATACACCATGCCTGCTTGAGGCTCGATTACAGACCCGTTAGAATGCTGAATCTCGTCGGCGGACTGGATGCTCAAAAGCTGAAACTTGCTGGCGTGAAGATCCATGCCGTACGATTTCCCTGCTCCTGCAACCGCTTCGAATAGTCTTCCCACGCTTGCTGCGTTTCTGCTCATAAGGAGCGTATCGTCCGCACACAATACGGCAGAGAGCTCACCATCTTCCCAGAGAGCACGATCTGCTTGTGGAAGTGCATCTCGTGCATCTTGGATGATGACAGTCATGATCATGACGAACAGGAAGGGTGACAGCGGCCTCCCTAGCACAGAAAAAGGACACGCAAAAGGCAAGAGGGGCGAGGGGGCGTGTCGAGTACAGTATAAGCTCAGCCACAAGAAACCTTGGTTTTGGTGTGGGAACTTCACGGCTTCCGTCGCGAAACCATCGAAACCCAAGAAACCCAGGGCACCCTGGAGGCAAGCAGGGTGTTTCTTGACATGGGTCTCCATTGTAAAGGTAGGCAGCGGCGGATGGCAGAGGAACAGGAGAAGGAACAGCGACGACGAACAGAGTGGAGCTGTGAAGGCAGATTCGGTCAACCCAGACCGCGAGGGTATCGATATGGACAGGCTCGTCGCTGGCGAACTTTCGAGGATGGACAGAACCCCCTTTAGCAAAACGTGGTCTAGTGAAAACGACCTCGGGCCCAAACCTGGCGGGCGCAAGCCTGGAAAATGACGGCCCCCGAAACTTCAAGAACGGCGAGCACGTCAATATCCACACCCTCGCGGTCCAGGCGCTGGAGCGCGATCCTAGCTATCTGGATACGCATTCCTGTGGATGCGTCTCGCGCGGGGCATCCGCGCAAGGCAGCCCTGCATCCATGGGGCCGCGACCAGGAGTCTGGACCGCCAGGCCGAGGATGTGGACACGATGTCCCCCGCCCCTGGTTGAGGTTAAAAACGCTGGTGGTATTTGTTTCGATGCACAACTTTCGGTAACCAGCCAAACAACAAAGGGGGGAAAAAAACGTAAGCAAACAAAAAAAGGCAGTGCAATCACGAATCACGGAAACAAACCGAAAACGGCGCGAACGATAATCACCACCACCACCACCCAAAAAAAAACGCTGATCTTGAAAACGGGGATAAATACCCCCAGCGTTTTAAACATCACGCAAGCCCCCGCCCACGAAAGATGCTAAGGTGACAAGCTCCCCCTCCCGCATGCAGCTTGCCCACCGGCCCTCCGGAGAAGTAGTCGCCGACGCCGGCGGGCTTCCCCTTCTCCTGCGCAGCGCGGGCGCGGCTGGTCGCGAAGAGCGCAGCGTGCGACGATGCTCGCCGTGGAGACGCGCAACAGACGGAGCGCGAAACGTGGGTAAGGAGGGGAGGAGCCCACAGATCATCGCCCCGAATCCGCCGACCCTGTCGGCGTGTGTGAGGTGCTTGTCCGTTCAAATCGTCATCTCCGTCATTCGTTGCTCGTCGTCTCTGTCGTTCCCTTTCCCTGCCTCCCCCTTTTCCCTGGGCTCGTCGAAGCTTCCCCCTTTCCCAGGGACCTCCTCAGCGCGCCAGCCAAAGCGAAGTTGAGCAACGTCAACGTCGTAGTTGAGTCGAAGGGAAGTCCCTTCCCTTCGATCCCTCCCCCGCCGGGGGGGGGGGTCCCCGGGGGGGGTCCCGGGCGGGGTCCCGGGGGGGGGTCCCGAGGGGGGGTCCCGGGGGGGGTCCGGGGGGGTCCCAGGAGGGGGGGGTCAGATACGACGCCCCCCCTGGGAGTCCCCAAAGACGGGCCAAGAGTGCCCCAAGAGGCCCCAAAGACAGTCCAAGAGAACCCCGAATCGCCGAACGATCTGTCCAAGACGCCTTGACGGCCTCCAGACGGCCCAAGAGGCTTGCAAAGCGCCTCAAGAGGCCTCCAGGAGCTTCCCCACGAGAGCTCCAAGAGGCAAAAATCATGGATGTCCCATACGTTTTTGAAAGATTTTGGCGTTCTTACCTCTTCCGCTTCCCGACGCGCCAAGACGGCCCAAGAGGCCCCCAAGATCGCCCTGAGACGGCCCAAGAGGCCCCCAAGAGGGTCCCCTAACGGCCGAAGAGGGCCCCAAGCCCCAAGACGGCCCAAGACGCCTCCAAGACGGCCCAAGGGACCCCCAAGACGGCTCCAGAAGAGTGCCCAGACGGGGGACCCGAACGGACATTTCGAGCTCTCAGCCCCAAGAGGCCCCCAAGAGGCCCCCAAGGGGCCCCCAAACTGCTCCAAGACAGCCCAGGAGAGCCAAATTGCCCAGGAGGCCTCCAAGAGTGCCTCGAGACGGCGCAAGAGGAGCCCTGGACGGCCCAAGACGGCCTCAAGAGAGCCCCAGGCTGTCCCAAGAAAGCATCTGGCCTCCTCCTCCTCCTCCTCCTCCTCCTCCTCCTCCTCCTCCTCCTCCTCCTCCTCCTCCTCCTCCTCCTCCTCCTCCTCCTCCTCCTCCTCCTCCTCCCCCCCTAGCCCTTCTGCGCCAAGTTGCGTTGCAGGGACGTTCTTCAGAACGGCACGCGTTCCTGCGAGCCAAGTGATTTGACAGGATACCTTCCCCACTCAGGACTGCCGCGCTGCCATGGCGCCGCCGGCTGCGACCCAGCGTGGGCGGAGCAGCTGGCCGTGGCGGGAACAGACGAGCATCGACGGCTGGGCTGAGTGGGACGACTTCAGTCGAAGTTCCACGTGGACATGCAGTTCATGTGGATGCAAGAAGAACAAGCAGGGCTGGGCGCAGTGCAAAAAATACTGGGCCTGGCGCGCCACCCCTCGCACGGGGCAGCACGCGCCCCAGCCTCGGGGCGTATGGGCGGGCAGCGCCCCGCCTGGCACATGGAGTGCGCGGCCCCCTGTTCCTGCTGATGGCCTTCCTTATCGCCCTGGCCCTCTCTTCTGGTCTGGAGGCGGCGGCACCCAGCGTGAGGCGACGAGCCAGCCCTCCGACATCGACCAGCTGCGCGGGCTCGTGGACGGCTTGCGCCGCATGGGTGACCCCGAGGCCGCAGAGAAATGGCAGCGGGAGCTCGACCCCCGCCTTCGCCGCCAAGCCGAGGAGGCCAAGGTCCAGGTCCCGCTGGAGCACCAGGTCAACCGCGCCTTCAACGAGATGCGCACGTTGGAGGCGAAGCTCGGGAAGAGCCTCAACGTGCTCGAGCGTCTGGAGAGCGAGCTGGACGAACATCGGGGCCGAGTTCGTACGTTGCGAGAGGAGCTGCAGGTGGCCGAGGAGAAGCACAAGTCACTCGTCAGCCAATTGCAGGCTTCGTCTGGAGCTCCACGTGAGCCTGCTCCTGCGCCGAAGCTCAGTATCGATGATCTGCTCGAAGGAGAGTCGCTTCCTATCTGTTTGGACAGCTTGCTCACCGCCGAGTCAGAGTACGAGTTTTCGGAGGAGGACAGGCAGGAGGCGAACAAAAGATTGGAACAGTTACACGAAGGTATCCAGGCTGCGGTGCAACAGCTCTTCGGTGAGGCGGCGGCCAAGTCGAAGGCGTTCAAGGACGCGCAGGCTGAGCAGCTCAAGCGTCTACAGGCCAAGACAATGGACCAATGGACAAGATGGACAACCCGTCGAAGGTGCTGCAGTCCCAGGTGGTGGTGCTGCCAGCGCAGGAGGCGGAGCTGCCCCAGCCCCTGGCCCCGTCGGCGCCGCCAGTGGGAGCGAGGGCGGGGAACCCGCGCCCGAGGCGGCGCCCGCAGGGCATGGTCGCCAAGCGCCGCCTGCTGCCGCACCTGCTGATGCACGCTCTCGCGCGGACAGAGTGTTACACGGTGACCCCCCCGCAAGTTCCGCTTGAGGGGGGGGCATCACGGACGACTACGGCCTCTCGCGGGAGGCGCAGCAGTACCTGTCCTGAGCTCTGAGCCACGAGCAGGCACTGTGCAGTATAATTTTCTTCAGTCCTCCTCCCCACCTTTTGCTGCAGTTCCGTTGGAGAATCTTGGTAAGAACGCGGGGGACGTCGCGTCGACGATCCCCCAAATGTTTTATTCGGCTCGCCTTGCGTGGTTCTCCCAGGCTGACGCCACCGCCGACGGTTCTCGTTCTGGTACTCGCCCCTCTCTCTTGAAAGCTGTAGGTCACACGTTGGCTAGGGCCAAGTCGGCCCTCGAGCGTGGTGACCCACACCCGACTCTTAAGTTTTTGGAGCGCCGTGGGCCGCTCATGCCTTGTGTTTCGCCCAGGCCCCATGATCAGCTGCTGCGGCCTCTGGAGGCCGAGGCGTTCCCTCTGGACCAGCTCGCTCCAGCGTTCGAAACGTGCAATGTCTCGGGCTGGGGATCTGGACAGTTGTGGTTACTGAATACCTGTGCTGATGTGGTGACCATGCAAGAGCATAAGCAGATGCCTCATCAATTGGCGCCGGCTTCGTCATGGGCGAGACGCCACGGTTGGAAGAGTCTGCGGGTGGCGGCGGTGACTGGCGATGGAGGAGGCCCCTCCGCAGGCGTGGCGCTGTTCGTGAGAGAGTCTCTGGGCCTGGCTGCGCCGCCATCTGGCCATCAGATTTCTGCGGGGAGGGCCCTCGTGGGCATCGTGGACATTCCAGGGCAGGCGCAGCTCGCCATCTTGTCGGCCTATTTCCACGACTGCCAGGACCTGTCGGATGAAAAGATTGACCTGTTGTGTTCGTGCCTCTCCTTGGGTCAGGCCCTGGGTTACCCGTTTTTTCTTGGGGCGGATTTCAATATGGAGCCGTTGACGCTCCTCTCGGGCGGCCTGGGATCCAGGGCGGAGGAAATCCAGTTTTTGATTCCTGATGGGCACACCTGCAAGTCTACGGCAGGACTCAAGCAATACGACTCTTTTATCGCCTCGGCCGACGTGGCCAAGGCTGTTAGCCAAGTTAAGGTTATCCGTGAGAGTAGCCTCACTCCCCATTCCCCCGTGCAGGTCGTCTTACATCCCAGGCTCGGCCGTCTCCAGGCCCTCGCCTTTCGGCGCTCCCCGCCGCTCCCCACGGCCCCCCTGGCCCCCGTCCAGGTTTTTGAGGCGGTGTCCCCGCCCCTTAGGGCCCATGAAGTGCTGGAGTCGGCTAGAGCTGCTGCTGGGCAGGGCGATTGAGCTAGGGCCCAGGACGCCCTTGATCGTGCTTATCGGTTCTGGGCGAATACTGCCGAGCGGGAGGCGTCCGCTGCCACGGGTAAGGTCTTGCCCGTTTGGGGCGCGAGGGGCAAGCCCCCCCCCCCAGATGTGTTGGAGGCCTATTGTGAACAAAAAGAGCACGCAGGGGAGCTCCGAACTGTTCGCGTGTCGTTGGTTGGCCAACATGTTCTGTAATGTCGAAGGCTTCTGGTCGAGTGGCAGCCAGGCGGGCATCAACTCCGTGCTTGCTGTTTTGGAGTCGCCGCCTCAGTGTGCGCGACACCCAGGCTCGGCTGGTGGTTTCTTAGGTACCCTGCGTGATTTTATCTGCGAGCTGCCGATGTACGAGGCCAAGGAAGGGCCCTCGTTCGACTTTTTCGCTCACTTGGTGGGCGCCTTCCGAAGTGGTCCGCGTGGGACCCACACCCGCTGGGCCTCCCAGGGGCCCACGAAAGTGGCCACAATTGCGCAGATCGCAAGCCCCCCAGGGGGCGGCGAGGTACCGAGGTGGTCCGCGTGGGACCCACCTCCGCTGGGCTTCCCAAGGGCCAACGAAAGTGGCCACAGTTGCGAACAAGGAGTGGAGAGAGCGGCTTCTTTTCAAAGCTGATCGGGGGGCCCGTCGCGTTCACGCGGCCTCTAAGGGGGGCACCCCTTGGACCCCAACCACCACCCTGTCCCTGGATGGAGTGGTCGTGGCTGACCCTCTCTCCCTTCTTAAGGCGGAGTCCTCCAAGTTCTCGAAACTGCGGGGTGACGGGGCCGCGGGTTGTTGGTTTGAAATTGGCGAGGTTGTCCCCCCTCTGGAGCCCGTGCCTGTGGAAGCCATTCGTGAGTTCTCGCGGAAGTTCGAGGAAAACACCTCGGTCAGTGTGGATGGCTTCCACATGAAGCATTTCGCCCTCATGAGCGATGTGTTGCTGCTCATGGTTACCGATATGTTCGCCTTCATGGAATGCACTGCTCTGGCCCCTGTCCAGATCTCCGTCACCCTCCTCACCCTCATCCCCAAGGTGAGTGCGGGATTTCGGCCGATCGGGAGTTTCTGTGCCGTGTACCGTGCCTACGGCAAGGTGCGTCGTCCGCTGGCCCAAGAGTGGGAACTCACCCACGCCAGGGAGCATTTCGCGGCGGGGCCCTTCGAGGGGGCCCAGGGCGTGGTCTGGAGACAGGCGGCGC